CTTTGACTTGGACTCTGTGTTGTGGACTCATTGTAGTTGGACTCTGTGGTTGGACTCTGTGGTGGGACTCTGTGGTTGGGACCTCTTGTGGTGGACTCTTGTGCGTGGGACTTCTGTGGTGACCTCTGTGTGTTTGGACTCTGAGTGGCTCTGTGTTCGTGGGACTCTGTGTTTGTGGACTCTGTGTTGGACTCTGTGTTGTTGGGACTCTGTGTGGACTCTGTGTTTGTGGGACTCTGTGTTGTGCACTCTGTCGTTGGGGACTCTGGTAGTTGGACTTGGTTTGTGGGATCTGTTTGTTTCGGACTCTGTGTTGGTGGACTCTGTGTTGGACTTGGGTTGTGGGACTCTTGTGTTGGACTCTAGTGGTTGGACTCTCCGTGCTTCGGACTCCTGTACGTTCTGGCACGACTTACTGTGCCTTGGACTCCTGCTTGTTTCGCGAAGGAACTCTGTGTTGGACTCTCGTGTTGGGACTCTCGTGTTGTGGACTCTGTTTCGTCTGAACTCTGTGTTGAACTCTGTCGTTGGACTCCTGTGTTGACCTGTTGTTGTGGACCTCTGTTGTGTTGGTGGAACTCTGTCGTTAGGACTCCTCAGTGTTTTCGGCACTCTGTGTTGGACTCTGGTCTGTTGTTGGACTACCTCGTGTTGCTGACTCTGAGTTGTTGGGACCTCTCGAGTTTCGTGGACTCTGTCGTTGTGGACTCTGTCGTCTTGTTGACTCTCGCTCGTTGGACTCTTCTTGGTAGGGACTCTGTGTTGGTGGACTCTGTGTTACTCTCGTGTTGTGGCCTCTGTGTTGGCTCTGTGTTGGATCTGTGTTGTGGACTATGTGTTGTGGCTACGTTTGGACTGTGGGTGGACTGTGTTTGTGGGACTCTGTGTTGGACTCTGTGTGTTGGAACTCTGTGTTTGTTGGAACTCTGTGTTGTGGACTCTGTGTTGGGGATATGTGTTGTGGACTCTGTCGTTGGATCTGGTGTTGTTTGGGACTCTGGTGTTGGACTCTGGTAGTTGGGACGGACTCTTGGTAGTGTTGGGACTCTGTGTTGTCGGACTCTGGTTGGACTATGATTGTTTGTGGACTATGGTTGGGACTCTGGGTGTTGGGCTCTGTTGTGTTGTTACTCTGTGTTGGGACCTCTGTGTTGTGTACTCTGTGTTGTGGACTCTGTGTTGGACTCTGTGTTGGACTCTGTGTTGTCTGGGTCTGTGTTGGACTCTGTTGTTGGACTCTGGTGTTGTGGACTCTGTGTTGGACTTCTGTTTGTGGACTCACTCTGTGTGGACTCGTGTTGACTCTGTGTTGTGGACTCTGTGTTGGACTCTGTGTTGGGGACTCTGATGTATGGGAGCCTCTGTGTGGTATGGACTCTGGGGTGTGTGACTCTGGTGTTGTGGACTGTGTTGGGACTCTGGTGTGGTTGGGACTACTGTGTTTGTGACTCTGTTGTTTGGGATCTGTTTGGATCTGTGTTGTTGGACTCTGTGTGACTCTGGTGGTTGGACTATTGTGTTGTTGGATCTGTGTTTGTGGAGATCTGTGTTGGACTCTGTGTTGGTGGGACTCTGTGTTGGACTTTCTGGTGTTGTGGACTCTTGGTGTTTGGACTCTGTGTTGTGGACTCGTGTTTGGACTCTGTGTCGTGACCCTCTGTGTTTGTGGACTCTGGTTTTTGTGGACTCTGTTTGGACTCTGTGTTGTGGACTCTGTTTGGACTCTGTGTCGGACTCTGTTTTGGACTCTGTGTTGTGGACTACTGGTGTTGGACTCTGTTGTTCTGTGACTCTGTGTGGACTCTTGTGTTTTGCGACTCTGGTTGGTTCGGGACTCTTGTGTGGACTCTTGTTGGACTCCTGTGTGTTGGACTCTGTGTTGGATCTGTGTTTGGACTCTGTTGTTGTGGACTCGTTGGTGTTAAAATGTTTCAGGTTTAAAAGTCACATGTATGATTTTAACGGAGCCTGCAGCCAATCAGAAGAGCCAGCGGTGCTTTCAGAGTAAGAGACAGAGATAGAGGTTGGTTGTTTAATCATCCGGCGGAGCCTTTGCACATTAACTAATCCAATTCTCTGCCATTGGTTATGCTGGTTCTGATAGAATAGGTACAGTGGCAGC